CATTTTCATTTTTGGAGGTCATTTAGGTCATTAGAGGTCATTAGAAGGTCAAACACTGGATTTGTTGCTGCTACTGTATTCCTGGGGTTCCTAGCTTTCGTTTGATATGCATAAAGCCATAGTTAAAACATTTTCAATTTTGGAGGTCATTTAGGTCATTAGAGGTCGTAAGAGGTCATTAGAAGGTCAAACACTGAATTTGTTGCTGCTACTGTATTCCCTGGGTTCCTAGCTTTCGTTTGCTATGCATAAAGCCATAGTTGAAATATTTTCTATTTGTGGAGGTCATTAGAGGTCATTAGAGGTCATTAGAGGTAATTAAAATTCAATTTGATTTTACTTTAGGAATTTCGATCACTAATTAGGCGTGCACCCAAAAAATTGGAAGATTTGAACCAAAAATGGAGGCAGGCCCCCCCCCCCCTACATTAAATGCGCTAACTCCACCATCCCCTTTCGAACAGAATAAATTTAATTGTGAGATAACCATAACCTAACTTCAAAATATTTTAATACTTCGATTTTACATACGCACACAATAAACATTTCAAAAGAGTTTTTAACCTGATAAGATGGATCAGTTTTAGCGTTTGCTGAAGCATCTGTCAATCCCTCTTTATAATACAGAATTCACTATAATGTAAAGGGACTGCTTTTAAAAGTAGAAAAGGATGGAACATGATGCAGTGCTGGGTTTTTTAAAGGGACTGTAAGTCTAATTTAAAGTAACAAAGATGTCAATGTCCGATTCAAAACGGTAACTTTATAGCTTTGTCGATAATCAAGTACAAGTTTAAATAAATTAACAATGTTTAAAATTTTGAAACCTGTTTTTTCAACTTTTGTTTCACAACAAAAGAAGTAGCAACATTACAGGAAAATATAAAGGAATTATCACAATTTAAACAGAGGCCGAATTTAAAGAATTTCAGCCGCGGCTTAAATATAAGCCGCGGCTCAAATACGGTTGATTTCACTTAAAATTGTATTCAATGTTTCAAGATTTAAGCGGCGGCTCAATTGAAACCGGTTTTTGGCGGATTTAAGACGCGGCTCAAATTCATTAAATTCGGACACAGTTTCAAAAACTACAATATCTTCCTTAATTTTGTTTGATCAGATAAAGGTTTCAAGGGTTTCCATTTTGAACAGGGCATTTACATCTTTGCATGAAGGGTCACTTGAAATTAGGTTTAAATGTCCTTTAAAAAATCTACTAATGTCATTACTTGATAATAAGGTAAGACTCTTGAAAATCAAAGCCAAATTAAAATTTCAAACGATTGCCAAAATAAATAAAAAATATATATTTACATGTATCAACCGAATGTATCTATTAAAAATATTGGTTGATAATCGATTTATCTAAATCGGAATGGATCTACTTCTACTGTTCTACATATATATATATGTATATATATATATATCCTGAAGAATGCCTATAGCATGAAACATAATGTCGATACAATAAAACTAAAACTTCAAATCATGTTTTGAATGCTCATTTTCTTTTATATATANATTTTCATAAGAAGCATAAGTGAATTTCGTTAAATATTCAACTGTAATTTTTCAGAAGTTAAAAAAACGTATTTCAATACTGATCAACAAATAAGTCACCCCCGACATAATTAAATAATTCGTAAGATTTTTCTACTATTAACATTTATTATAACATTGTACAAGTAACCATGATCTATAATCTATGTTATTTTTTTAGGAAATAAAGATTTTGTTATCGAATTTCTGTGACGGGGTTACTCTGTTGTGTGTGTATTGTTCGGCCATCGGGAAAGAATTGTCTGGGGATAATAAACACCCCCATCAGAATCCTAACCGGCCTATTATCCGGATTTGTCTAGCGTGTTGCTGTTATCTGTCAACAAGGGTATAGGGCGGACAAAAGTCCGGTCTGTGAAAAAAAATTTGACTAAAGCTCCAGATCTAAAAACTAAATTTTTGAGAAGCCCTTGAAAAATGCATGTAGAAACATGTGTCACACTTTGATATTTGTTTAAAACAAAAAAAATATTTATTTCATTTTTTTGACCCCTTTTTAGGCATTTATTCCACCCTACCTAGCACCCAAACTATTAAAGTTATCGGTCTAATTTTTTCTTTGAGCTGGCCACGAAAAATTTTGCTATAAACATGCCTTTCAATACTATAGCTATTCTCTAAGGCCTTTTCTAGGGCTGGGGACGCCAAATACCCCCCTCAGGCTATACATATATTCAGACCCCCCAGCCTTCATAGGGTTAACTTTAAAGTGTCGCAGCGCCTTGACCTTTGGTTTTACCTCACCTAGTCATTCATACTTTTGTGTAGCCCTAGCCATATATATTCTTAAACTGCAATGCGTTTGTTTTTAGCTTAAGTTTGAAAGGAGTAATTGGCAAACCACTTCTCGATTTTTTCGTAAGAGTTTGCGCATCTTGGTTTGCAGTGAGTGATCTAGATCTGATTATTTTGAAGAGGATGTTCTATGTTCAATGTTCAATGTTCAATGTTCAATGTTCGATGTTCAGTGTTCAATATTAAATGTTCAATGTTCATGCTTTATAATGCTTCTCAAATACTTGATAAAGGAGCATTACAAATAATACTGACTTGCAGTGCGCGAATCATAATAATGTGCAATGATTGTCGTCCTCGATTTATCAAACTAATATTTTTCTAAAAGTGTTCAATAGTTAGAACTTTGGTGTTGTAAATCTCGGGCTCTAGTATTAATCTCCATCTTATGTTTAAGAGTCAGAACTTTAGTGTTGTAAATCTTGGACTCAAGCATTAATCTCCATCTTATGTTCAAGAGTCAGAACTTTAGTGTTGTAAATCTTCGGCTCAAGTATTAATCTCCATCTTATGTTTAAGAGTCAGAACTTTAGTGTTGTAAATCTCGGGCTCAAGTATTAATCTCCATCTTATGTTTAAGAGTCAGAACTTTAGTGTTGTAAATCTCGGGCTCAAGCATTAATCTACATCATGTTCAAGAGTCAGAACTTTAGTGTTGCAAATCTCGGGCTCTAGTATTAATCTCCATATTATGTTCAAGAGTCAGAACTTTAGTGCTGTAAATCTCGGGCTCAAGCATTAATCTCCATCTTATGCAGGCCCATAAACGGACTAATTAAATTCTTCTTAAATATCTTGTAGTATTATCATGCAGAAATTGTCAACGTTAATCCTAAAATTCAAGTTGCCCACATTGGATAGCGAGATCAAGCATTTAAGTTTAACGTTACTCGAGACACAAAATTACATTTTTATAAATATATAAGATTAAATAAAATTCCTCAGTGAGAATTCTTAATTAGAAGAAAATATGGAAAATACAAGAATTCCATTCTGTTTTGATGTCCAGTGTGTCTGTCAAAACAAATTAAATTAGATGTTTTGTGAACAGTCATCTTCATTGTTCTTATCAGTCTAATCATCCTTCTTGTATTACACAGGTGTAATAAAAGAGGGGATATGGTAAGGGGGGCACAGTGGGGTATTGGAGGGGGGAGATGGTAAATGGGGGCACAGTGGGGTATTACAATGTGTGTTAATGAAAAGATTATCAGAATATATTAATTTTGTCCATTCTCAACATGAAACACAAGACAAATGCATTTTAAGATGAGTATTGTGACAAAAATCAGTCATCCCCCCTGACCCCCTAAAATACCCCACTGTGTGGGGTGAAAAAGAGTAATGTTGTAATCAAATTAATTTGATCTAATTTCTTCTTATTTCATTAACATTAACATTTTGGAATGAGATAATTAGATATAATTAGAACAAGGAAAAGAAAGAAAAATGTCAATGCTAATAAAATGAATAAAAAAGGGCAGTTTAGAGGAATTTTTTTTAACCCTTCAGACTTGTATTTTCTCATTTTGTAATGATGTCTGTAAATTCCTAATCTTTGAATTTCATTGTTTGGAACCATATTAATCAACCCTTCTCCAACAGCCATTAGAAAGTCCAGTTTTTCCCTTGCAATGCCTCCCTAAAAAAATCAAAATATTAATTTTATATATATATATTTATATATTTATATATGTTACATATACAATATATACTCTTGATTTCTTTATTAAATCTTTAAAATATTGGTTTCATATGGTTTTGGTACAAGTATCAAAAGTATGCCTCCAAGGGCCTAGAAGAGATTTTTGTTAAAAAAGTTTTTTGTGTGCAATGGATATAAAATCAGGGAATATTAGTTCCAAAACTAACATTTGGCCCATTTTAAAAACTGAGGGTTAGAAATGGGCCAAATCTACAAAGTTATCTTTTTTCAAACGTATATATCTTTAAATGCAAGCCAAGTTGATCAAAACTACACCATATATTTATTAAAAATGGCTAAAACTAATTATTAAAACAAGAAATGTCCCTTTTAAACTAACATTAAGGTGAAATAATTAGTTTTTGAGAATATTGGTTTTCATTTTCGAACATTTTTTATTTTAAAACAATTACCGCATTTCAGCTCATGTCGCGTTTTCGAAACATATCCTGATTTTGAGATAATTACTCGTATTCATATCAATGACAATTTTCAAGCATTTACGCACTTACTGCTTACGTCGTAACAAAACAAGATTTTTTGATAAGGTAAAATGGAAGCAAAAATATTGTTCTTTTATAATTTGAAAATCATTACAGCATCGAGAAATCAAAATTTAATATTATTTTGTCAATACAATATATGGACTTAACTGGAAATCCGGGAAATTGTCTAATATTTAGAACGAGGAAAATTAAATTAACTTTATTCTCTTATTTAACAAATAAAATGGGGAAATTAAGATTTTAGAAATAATTTAGCAGTTAATAAAGTCTTCATACGATAATTTTTACTTTCAGCGATTTTTGTAAGTTATGAAAGTGAGTTTTCTTATGAAAACGCGACAATGATTCAAATTCAGAATATGTTCTAAAATAGAAAACCTGACATTGTCTTGAAAATGGTCAAGGGTTTTAATATAAAAAGAACTTTTAATGTAATTTTGATCCCCGAAAAAAGTTTTAACTGTGAATTTTTGTCCTCGTTATGCTTAATAAAATGATGGTCGTAGTTTTAATTATCGACTTTTACTCTCGATATGGGTCGGGATTCTAAAAACCCAGTCTTTCAATTTGTGCCCATTTCTAACACTCAGTGTTAGAAATAGGCCAAGTGTTAGTTTTGGAACTAAAGTCTCCTGAAATCTTTTAAGTTGTTTTTATAATTTTTATAATTTTATAATTTTATAATTTTGTAATTTTATAATTGTACAATTTTGTAATTTTATAATTTTATAATTTTATGATTTTATAATCACATTATTTGACCTACCCCAAGACACAAACAAGTTATAACAATGAAGAAACTGATTGAAATCAATTCAATCAATTCAAACTCAGATAATTAAAGCAGTAAAAAATGCTTTTTTTCTAAAAAAAAATTAAGATTTACTGAAGACCAGTTGCATCCACAATCCACTATTTTTTGTTTTACTTTAACTTTGGTCCTTCAAATATCTATTTCGTTGATGTTTTGGATGATTAAACATGTTAAATTCTAAAAACTGTTCAACATATTTTACCTTAACCAATGGGTTGATGACTTTGTTGATCATGGTGTACATCTGAGACAACATGATGTGCGCCACCACGGAGTCACACAGAGGACTAGTTCCAATACAATTATTAAATTTTGTTCATGAGGTAAATTTTGTTCAAAGTATGATTAGGGATGGGCAGTTTTACCTTTCAGACCGATCGAAATTTAAAAATAAAATAAAACCACCCCTACACTCTTGTTTCAACTTTCCAGTAGTGTCTGATCCAATCAGGGTTCAGTCACATGCTTGATGACTATTCAGAACCAATAGAAAATGAAACGGAGGTAACATCTATCTATCTATCTATTAGAGATGAATTCTAAAGTCAGTGCTAAACAGTTCACGAATATCACCTGCCTACAATCCAACTTGTAATAAAATCCTTCATTTTATTTATATTAACTGACAAGCGAAGTTGACAGACTTTTTAAAATCATATTATATGTCGATAAGAATTAATTGATTTTCCTGATTGAATCTGGTACCAGTCCCTCAATCACTTCACAAACCTTTAAACATTTGAAAAGACAATGTAGGTGTAGTTCAGACTAGACAAAAGTAAATAAATATCTTAAAATTGAAATTAGCACGTTTCGGAAAAACAAATTAAGGCGAAAATAAGATGGTCTAACTGTTAAAATAGGCAGAAAATCTTATTAAAACCCGGAAAATTTTGGCAAAATACCAACTGATCTACTTGGACATACCTTGGTTAAGCTGCTCATTCTGGTTTTAAATAATGACAGGATACTAGCTAATTTACCTGGAAAAAAGATGGCGGAATAACTGCAGAAACCTCCAGAAATTGTACAGAGATTTTCTTGATTGAATCACTGTTAAAAATAGATTAATTACAGTCTAACGGTGAGATTTCAAATAGAAATTGAGTCTTTGCCAAAAACTCAATTTTTCTAATCCCTATATTTATGTAATCTAACGGTGTAAACATTTTAAACTGAGATTATTTGATCTAACAGAATTCATAGTTTGAAATAGCTCAGGTCTCCAAAATTGGTTGCAAAGATATAGGGATTAAAAAATCAGAGCTAAAACTAAAAGACTTTGTAGTTTATGTAATTTGCATACCAGTAATTTTTTGTTAAATATGATAAATCTGCAGGAACATACTGCAATTGAAAAGAGCAAATCTGGTCTGAAAGTTTAAACGGAAATATGATCCACATGAGGTTGAAATGCAAAGTTTTTTAAGAATTCTTTTTTGTTAAATATCTTGATCTACTCTCCTAACATTCATTCTACCGGCCTCTGCATCTTCAATAACCTCCTCGAGGATGGGTGTAAAGAATACTTCTAAAAGATCAGCAACAGCCTGTAGTAAAAAGGGATTTTTTAACCAAATCCAAATTCATGAAAAACTTTATCATCAGATTATTAATTCATCTTAAAGGTCTAATTCTTTGTACGGTGTCCCAAAAATCATTGAACAAACTCAAAATTGTCTCTTAATTTTTTTTATTGGGACATCCTGTACCTGGAACCAAACCGGTTTCTTTGCATTCCACGCCATATTCTGATCTAGGATTTCAAAACTAGATTCATCCAGCTTTCTCAAAACTGGTTCCATTACCTTAATTAAAAAGCATTTTACTGGGATTTCCATAAAAAAATGTATGTACTGAAAAAAGTAAAAAGCAAAGTTGCAATGACAGAGAAACTTTGCCATGAAGAAACAGATTACACCTAAATAGAATTGTGGTGGGTAAGGGGCGTTAGACCAATGACCATGTCCTTCTTTTTCTCAAAATATGAAAGCGAAATGCTTTTAATGAAAAAAATTTTTGATTTTTTTTTTTTAAATATGTATTAAAGTTTAATTGCTAGGATTATTAAAAACCGTGTTGTGACATTTCATAGAAAGACATTTCAGAGACAGAAAATTTCATAGAGATGCCATTTCATAGATTGGACATTTCATAGATAAGACATTTTATAGACAGAGAAGATTTTTCAAAGACAGAGGAGATTTTTTATCTTTGAAATGTCCTAACTATGATTTTGTTATCTATGAAATGTCTTTCTATGAAATGTCACAACGCCTTAAAAACAAATAAAGCATCTTGTTAAAATAAAGAAACAGAAAAATCATTTAACAAATTCCTGTTGTGACTCCAACATACGTTTTTATTATAATTTTAAAGGTAGTTATGAACAAGAACTAATTCTTCTTGAGAAAACTATATTAATGGTATGGCTGAACCTTTTTTAAACAATCCTTCTCCGGACAACCGTGCATGGTGATAAATAAAACAGCACTTCCAACAGCCTAAAACAAGTGATACAAGGACAACTAGTAAAAAACATCTTTTTGTTGCAACAACCTGTTTACAGTTGGTTTTTATTTGGAACAGTTTGCTATTTTAACGGACTTTCTTTCCAATTTGAATGATTTTGTTTAGGATTTATTTACTGTTTATTGTTAAGTAAGAGCAAAAATTCAATCTTTAAAATCCATTTTAAAATATAATTTTTAAAGTTTGTTAAAGTCAACCTGTGGCCAGCTGTAATCTGCACTGTTATAACAATTAAGGCTGCACAGCAGGTTTCCACATCCATCTGTCATCAGATGATCTGGCTTCTCATTTTTACAACCTTAAACATAGATTATTGTACAAAACAACAAATATAAAGTATAAATATCTAGTAATGAATTGGTGAATAAAAAAGCAGATGTAATGAAGATCACCCATCATCTCATTTGTCTCCTTGGAAGGGATTTATTTGGTGGACCGTCCCGATTTACCGTCTAGGTTGAATACATACTGTACACAACGTGCTTTATAGCGGCATTGGTCTCCTTGGAAGGGATTTATGTGGTGTACCGTCCCGATTTACCGTCTAGGCTGAATACATACTGTACACAACGTGCTTTATAGCGGCATTTGTCTCCTTGGAAGGGATTTATTTGGTGGACCGTCCCGATTTACCGTCTAGGCTGAATACATACTGTACACAACGTGCTTTATAGCGGCATTTGTCTCCTTGGAAGGGATTTATGTGGTGGACCGTCCCGATTTACCGTCTAGGCTGAATACATACTGTACACAACGTGCTTTATAGCGGCATAAAAGTCGGAATTGTACTTCACATGAACCAGAGTTTTCAGTAACATCTGATTATGCATAAAAAATTACGAAATTGGCAAAATAATTTATTTAAACTTTCAAAAAAATCTGAAATGGTTAAACATTTCAAAATTTTTCCTTTTATTAAAGTTTATTAAATCGTTACCATGACAGAAGATATTAAAGATTACAGACTGTTTCTTAATTTACAAGAAAAGCTTCCTACTTATTGTAAATATATTTAATTATCTCATTTTTAGTTTCGTTTGTCACACTCTGATTCTTCTCTATTAATCTTGTTTTCCATATGATAATGCACGCACTGCATAGCATATCATTCTGCATTCATAATTCATAATGAAAGACGAAATTAATCTTCTGTATAATAAAATAAGACATTCATATAAATGTTGCCTATAGCCGGTAAAACCGAATGGGCTGACATTTTTTGGGGACACTCATGGGTGGCCGGGGTGTGTTAATGGCTAAAAAAATCGACATTTTTCTAATTTAATCATTTTTTTAAAAATATTTATTTTCAAAAATATTTTTTTTTCTCGGGCAACGCCGGGCCCTTCTTCAGCTAGTATATCATAAAAGTCAAAAATTAAATAAAGTTTTATTAGATTTTATGAAGATTTAAGATGTTATGAAAGTTATATTACATTGCATTCCAAAAAATATTATACGATTTTATAATATTTTATTAGATTCTATCAAACAGATTCTATATATAAGATAATATAAGATTTTATCAAAACTTTATAAGAGATTATCAAAAGATAAGATTCTTTTCAGAATTAAACTAAAGGATTTCTTTTAACCGAATAATGCTGCTAGTGTTACCTGGAATATAAGCTGCAAAGTTCTTCATTATTTGAATTGGAAGTAAAAAGTCATTGGAAAGGCAGGACCGAACAACATAACTCCAAATGGGCCCTGAAATACCACTTGTGAAAAACAAGTCAAAATGATAAGGAAAGTGACCGCGAAATGGCTCAGTGTGGGGGGTGGGGAGATTATACATAAGGGATAAAGCATTTTCCTCAAAAAATTAAAAATTTGAGACAAAGTCAAATTTTCTGAACTTCTTTATATTGTTTAAACCGGATTTTGTAAACATTTGATATTTCAAACTTAACTTCATTTCATACGATATTGGGATGCAAATATATAAGGCTTAGACAATCAGAGTTGGTGACAAAGACTCAATTCCTTAGACTAATTCACTTTGGAACATTTAAAGGTGTCCACTTTGGATATTGAGTTCCAGCAGACATAATCAATGATACTCAAAGCAAAAGTTCTGAACAAATATTACATTACCTGGCAATGCCCCAGCCATTTTAACAGTGAGGTAAACAGACGTATTCAACTCAAGCTTATCCGGGGGATTAGAGAATATGCCTGAAATATTATATTGTAAACATTGTTCCTAAAATACTATTTTGTTAACATAGTTCCTCAAATATTATCTTGTAGACATATATCCTAAAATATGAGACTGTAAACAAAGTTTCTAAAATACTATATTGTAAACATAGTTCCTGAAATATTATATTGTAAACATATTTCCTAAAATATCAGACTGTAAACAAAGTTCCTGAAATATTATATTGTAAACCCATATCTGCACCCCTTATGCAAAATGGGGAGTTGTAAGCATTAAAGCCCCATTGAGAGGAATCTTCCACAGCAGTCTAGTCTTCACAGTTGGTCGAGTAAAAAAAGGTATTGTTGTGCATGGCTTGTATACCTATCAGGGGTTTAACTCCTTCTTCCACTGCACCATGCGGAAGATGAAGAATTGTTTTATTTTATTTTACATTTGACAGGCTCCTCCCCTGAAGGATAAGACGCAGCGCTCCCCAAAACTGTAAAGCCGGGACTACTATGAGAGAGGTCTAGTCTCCTCTGAGGGCGGTAAGCAACTGGATATGAATATTGAATATCTATTTTTATTTAAAGTATTGTTTTCTATACCTGGATATGAATATCTATTGTGATTTATTCTATAGTATTGTTATCTTTATACCTGGGTTGATGATATGAAGCCATTGTATCAATGTTTCCTCACGAGGTTTTGCTAAAGGGGTGAGAGAACCTTTCTTTGGCTGGATCAGTGTAGATACTCTAAAAAATAGAAATGACATAAGTTCACTTTTTCTATCCTATAAAGTTTAAATATTTAAAGTGAAATCAAATGGTTAACAGCATAATCAAATCTATTTCGCCAACTCGTACCGACACGACATGCTATATTTCTTGAGCAACTTTATGACTATCCCCGCTTTGGTGTATCTAATTCCCTTTCAGGGGTTAAATTTTGAAATGTTTACATGAAATACTGTTTGTAGTTTCGGTATTAAATTTCTTAAATTTAGTCTAAACTTAGGGTTTAGTATATCGTATCCAATGGAGCATGTGCCATTAACATAGAATTGCATACATTTAGTCTAAATTTAGGGTTTAGCATCGTATCCTATGGAGCATGTGCCATTAACATAGAATTGCATAAAGGAATTGAGTTTTAGCCACAAATTCTGATTTTCAAATAGCTATATCTTTGCAACCTGATGGTGTTAACCTTTGATATTTCAAACTATTATCATCTGATTTAAAATAATTCATATATATAAGGTCTCTGACATTGAAATGCAAAGATATAGGGATAAGAAAATCAGATTTTGCGAAAAAAGTCAATTCCTTTAGTCTAAACGTAGGGTTTAGTATCGTATCTTATGGAACATGTGCCAATAACATAGAAATGCATAAATTTAGTCTAAACTTAAAGTTTAGTATATCGTATCCTATGGAACATGTGCCAATAACATAGAAATGCATAAATTTAGTTTATTTATGAAGGATTTGTAGGTTTTGTAATTTATATCCAAAGGAGCTTTAACTAGTCATCTAACTAGTGATTAACTAGTTAAGGAGGTAGAACTAAAGAGTACAGTCACCTGTGTAATTTATATCCAAAGGAGCTTTAACTAGTCATCTATCTAGTGATTAACTAGTTAAGGAGGTAGAACTAAAGAGTACAGTCACCTGTGTAAAGTTTTAAGTGGACATCCGACAAGAACCAAGTTCCAGGCAAGTATCTGACATTTTGCATGAATAGATCTAAATATACATTTCTTCAAACCAGTTAAACTAGGATTTAAAAATGTCAATTGGTCTTTGTCAGAAACTCAAATTTATAATCAATATCTTTGCAACCTGATGGTATAAACCTTTGATATTTTAAACCAGATTATTTGATTAAACAGAATTCATAGGTTTATGACATTGGGTAAAGAGGTTAGCCAATTAGAGTTTTGGGCAAAGCCTTCATTTCTTTGCATTAGATGAACTTAATGTTCTAACTTGTTAAACCCTTTAAAAGGAGTTTATACGTTATATCAAGTAACCTTTAAATAGTATGTACGATTACCATAGGTAACCTTTAAACCTTTATCTGGACAAGCTCAACATTTCTTTATAGTTCCTATTTTTAAAGGGAGTGACCGGCTATGTAAGGTTGTTGAACTGAGTATGCAGTGTTGTGGACAAAGTCTATAGGATTCATTTGAGACATATAAAACTTTTTAAAGATATGTAAATCCTGAGTTTGGACGCAAAGTCGACGTTCAAAACCGTACTTTTGGGTGGATACGTTTAAACTCAGGATTTACAGATCTTTTAAAAGTTTTATATGTCTTAAATGATTCCTAAAGAATTGGTCCACAACACTGCATACTCAGTTCAACTACCTTACATAGCCGGTCTGTCCCTTTAATAGTGCATGAATTTTCCCTGTGAAAGCTTGAAATGCACAGAAATATGTTAAAGTAAAAATTCAGGAAATTTTCAGAATTAAACAAATTTTAAGACAAGGACGTATATTGTATATCTTTCTCATTGTTACTAAGATAAACGTTTAAAGATTACAGTTGTGAATCAGGCACGTCATTCTTTTCAGAGAGGGTCACTATATGTTTTGAATACAGTTACTTAATAAAACTTATAAAATATACATTTACTGTGCAATGTGCACCCTTGAAGTCGAAATTAATAAAAACTGCAGCCCAAAAGTTTTTCCTAAGATATTTACATCTTTAACACCACCAGGCTTAAAATTAGGGATTAGAAAATTGAAGTTTCAGGCGTGTGTTTACATAGTTTTTGTGAAATTTGTTTTTATTAATAAATGACAAGCTTACAAAATAGGTAAACGAACCTAGTTAAAGGGACTGTACGCGAAATTTGAAGTGACCCTTCATGCAAAGATGGTGGTACCCTTAAAAGATTTGTCGGCTCAAGTTTAAATTATAAATCCATGTTTTTGTTTTAGAAAACTGTTAATTTTGATTTGTGGTTTCTTTGAAAAAGTGATCTGCGCATATCTTGTGTTTCAAGGGTTTCAAGGGTTTCAAGGGTACCGTTGTGAATCGGGAATTGTCATCTTTGCATGCTCGGTCACTTGAAATTACACTTACAGCCCCTTTAAACTATCTCTTTTCCATTTATAGATGTCCATCTCAGCTTACCTGGATATTTTACATGATACAGTTGGATACAACACTTCATGCAGGTTTTCAACAGAAGAAAACAAAAGATCTATAATCATTTATCAAGTTTAAAATTTAACAACAAGAACTTTTGAAACTTTATTAACAAAAAATATAAAACTAGATACTTTTCAGGGAGTTATGTTAGGGAGTAAAAAGATATATTTACTATGAGCCAATTTTTCAATTTCACAATAGTATTCAACAAAGAAGACAATTTTTGGTTCGTTTCTTGCATTTTTCTGCTTTCAGAATTAACATTTTGCATAGTTTAAGGAAAGCAAATACTTGGCAAAAAATATTTGAAGTTTTGTAAAGAAAATAAGATTTTACCACAAAATTAAATTTTACTATTCTTATATCGTTAAAACCTGATGGTGTAAACCTTTGATATTTTATACATACTTAAATTATTTGATCTAACAGAATTCATAATTTAAAATATCTAAGATTTGCTGTATTTGTTTGCAAATATATGTGGATTATAAAATCAGAGTTTGTGGCAAAGACTAAATATATTTGTTTATTACCTGAAGTACAGAGCAGAATTGCAATAATATCCGCTCTGTACTGTGAAACCCGTTGTAGAGTTGGTTTCGCCTGACTATACCTTACAGCTGTAGATACAACAATAAACAAAAATATAAACAAAATTATAAACAAAAAATCTTGTTCTTATAAACCTAGGGATCTACAGAGCTATCAATCTTCTAGAGTGGGTCGATTTTGAAGTGTTTCACTTACCTAACCTTTGATCTTTACTAACTTTTCTGTAGCCCAAGATGTGTGCATTTTACTTGTGTCCAGATTTATTAAAGGAATAAGTTGGCAAAATACTGATATATTTTGGATCAGCGTCATTTCATTCGATTACATTACAACTTTTTAAATGTATGCGAGTAGACCAAACTTATCTTAAAATTATTCATTACCTCACAATCAATATTCAATATTCTTCTTAAAAACTGGGATTTTCTTTCTAGTAATTATAAATATTAATCACTAAAAACCTTTCAGAAAATAAATTAATCTAGTTATCTAGATTTTTACTTAGATTCAGTACTAAAAAGAACAGACATGTTTAAATCAATTATCAGAAAATCAAGTTAAAAAAATGAAAAAAATAAGGTAACCTCATAATCTCAAACATTACATTTGAGTATTATTTTACATTTTTAATCCAATTTTCTAATCCTTTAATCTGCTAACCAGATTTTAGAGACAATTCATATTTCACTATTTTACAAGATTAAATAATCAAAAATGAAAGGTTTAAATAATCAGAGACGGAATTTAATGAATTATAAAGAGGTCACTGAACTACCTTCCAGATACCATCGGTTCAAATCCCGAAACACTGATTCAAACTGATAGATTCATTAAGAATTGTATTTGAACCAGCAGTAGGTGTTATTCAATTCATTAAATTTGGTTCCAGGCACTAGGCAGGACTAGAGGTCAGACAATTGTAGCCTAGTTACAATTATATGGCAGTTTTCAAAAAGATTTTGTTAGAATTGCATCCTTCCTAGAATGGAGAGGCAGTCACTCAACACAGATCCAAATATTTTGATTCCGATTTTTGGAGATAGATAATTAAACACATCAGTTCTCAATCCCTGAACAAGTCTTATTATTCACACAATATCTAAACAGATTTTGAACCACGAAGACTCAGTTGAACCAATTCTCTTAAACTGCAAGAAAAAGCTTAATAGTCTATACATAATTCAACTAATTTCACTATTCGTCGAATTTGGTAATTGGAAATAGGGTTTTCATTTTTTTTCAGATCAGTTTGGCTAATTCAGGAAAGGCCTCACTGAACCTTTCCTGAAGCTGTTGAGAGCTTAAGAATGATAAACCATTAAAACGTGTAAGGCTATAAATACGGATCCAAATTGATCCGACACATACAAAACTAAAATAATTATAGTCTTAAGAGACTGTAAGCGTAATTTCAACTGACCCTCATGCAAAGATGACATTGCCCGATTCACAACGGTACCCTTAAAAGCTTTTACAGATCAAGTATGAACTATGTATTTTATTTTGAAAACTTATTATTTTCATTTGTGGGTTCTCTACTAAAGTGAAGTGCGCATTTCTACTAAAGATAACATATAGGAATTATTTTAATCAAAAACTTGTAAACCTAGAAAACGACAAGTTCTCTTACTTCATAGATCAGATTCAGGTTTTAAGGGTACCGTTGTAATCGGGCATTGTCATCCTTGTAAACCCGCTTACAGTCTCTTTAAGGGGGTTTGTTTACCTGCATATAGTACCACCAGTATTGAATACATTTTGAGGTTCTTTCTCCATCCATATAATGCCTACTCCCAGTCCAATCCTGAACACATAATATCCATATAATGCCTACTCCCAGTCCAATCCTGAACACATAATATCCATATACTTCTATACTTCTAGTTCAATACTGAACACATAATATCCATATACTGCTATACTCCCAGTCCAATCCTGAACACATAATATCCATATAATGCTTAATTCTAGTTGAATCCTGAACACATAATATCCATATAATGCCTACTCCCAGTTCAATCCTGAACACATAATATCCATATATATTGCCTACTCCCAGTCCAATCCTGAACACATAATATTTATTTATTTCCTTCTTCTAGTTCAATACTGAACATATAATATCTATATATTGCCTACTGAACATTTAATTTGTTACGACCAAATAGATTTTATTACAATAGATGGCATTAGAATTTGTACACTCTCAGTACAGCTGTATCATGACGTCACAAGTGTCAATTCAGTTTTTGTGTCCGACAAAAGTTAAATTTTAAGCGTTCTTTATTTTCTGTTGTACACTTTTTATTTATTCTTGGAAAACATGTCAGCTAATGTGAGATCATATTTGACATTGTGTATAATTGGTCTATTTCTCTGTTGCCACCTATTGTACTTTACAATCTATTTGGTTAAGACCATTTTTTTAGATTTGTAGCATATTTAAAAAATTAAAAGACAATTATACCATTTTTTCTTAAAGGGACGTTCGACATAATTTGAAGTTTTTAATTGATTCTTTATTTTAATTCGAATAAGCATCAGCAAGACATTGTCGTTTATTTGCTTCACCAAAGAAGAATTTTGTCAATTTCCGTTCTTGTCTTAGGTGCAAGAACATTTATACTCATACTTATAGAAACCCCGATAATATTTTGTCTTGACAGAGGTTTTGCCACAACCATGATATCTCTCAACCTGATGGTGTAAATAGGATCTAACAGTTTAAAATATCAAAGACGACATTGGGTCGGCAGCTAAGATAAATGTATTAAATAATTTGTGACAAGGACTCAATTCCTTTTAGATCAAAAAATTGTGAATCGGACATGGAACTCTGTATATACAGCTAATCATTTGAAATGAAGCCGACGATCCTTTTCAGCTAACTTTTTTTATAGTTATAAAAACTTTTTTTTTAAAGGATCCATGACTACTTTTTTGTAAATACCTGGCTCTCTGGGTCTTGTAGAACGACAGTAGCGACCAGACTGCTATGGTATTCAAGCACCTTATATATTGAATTTTAGCTAAATAAAACAATTAAGATTTCTGATATTTCTGCTGAATGGTATTTCTCTAAACTAGATAAACCAATTAAGATTTCTGATATTCCTGCTGAAAGGTATTTATCTAAGCTAGATAAAAAAATTAAGATTTCTGATATTTCTGCTGAAAGTTATGTCTCTAAGCCAGATAAAACAATTAAGATTTCTGATATTTCTGCTGAAAGGTATTTCTCTAAGCTAGCTAGATAAACAATTAAGATTTCTGATATTTCTGCTGAAAGGTATGTCACTAAGCTAGATAAACCAATTAAGATTTCTGATATTTCTGCTGAAAGGTATGTCTCTAAGCTAGATAAAACAATTAAGATTTCTGATATTTCTGCTGAAAGGTATTTCTCTAAGCTAGATAAACCAATTAAAATTCCTGATATTTCTGCTAAATGGTATTTCTCTAAGCTAGATAAACAATTAAGATTTCTGATATTTCTGCTGAAAGGTATGTCTCTAAGCTAGATAAACCAACTAAGATTTCTGATATTTCTACTGAAAGGTATGTCTCTTAGCTAGATAAACCAATTAAGATTTCTGATATTTCTGCTGAATGGTATTTCTCTAAACTAGATAAACCAATTAAGATTTCTGATATTTCTGGAATTGAGTACACACATCTTCTACTAAATATAACATTTAATGTACTATGCAAGAGTTATCATGCAAGTATTGAATTAATATATAACTACCGAGGTTTTCACAATGTATTAAAGGTTTACATCCATTTAAATATTTGATCCAATTTAAACAATATACAAACATTCTAGTAGTATTTTGACATTTCTCTGTGACGTCATTTACTCTATTTTCTATACGTGAAACACGTCATTCGCTCTTTTGATCGAGCCTACTCCTAGCCGCAGTGCCCTAGAATTTTCTACTATAGTAGCTGGGCATCTTGAACTTTTATAGCCTCAGCGCTCGGGCCCATATGTAGTCTGGATTCTGGAACGCCTGAGAATGTATAACCTAAACCCTAAATAACTTTTCATATTCTTTGAAAACTTTTTAAATCTGTTTTTTTATTCTATGCCTTCCAAAGAGCCAAAAAATGTTGATATCCAAGGATTGAAAGTGGGTCTAAATATATTATGGGGGGGGGGGGGATTTAGGGACACTCACACCGTAGGAATAGGGGTAAGACTTTTTTTTCAAAAAACGAGTAATCTCCTGTATGAACCAAGTTCAATAATGCGTAGATGATGCAGGAACCTAGTTAAACCAGGAAGAATATCTTAACTGTACTTAAAGAAGGGGTTGGAGAATATACCTTAGTCCCGCATATCATCTGGCGGGGTTAACATACACTTTATATTCGGCAATGTTTTTTTTTATCAATTGGAATAAAATATACAATAATAATAGTATCTTTTGTTGTGCTAGTTGTGCTAGTTATGCATTTAGGTACCTTCCCACCTACCAGACTTTTGTCGGTTATACTCCCTTTAAGATGTACTGCACTTACCTGTTGTGCGAAGGCATCAGTGAATTCAATCCATTTACTGTAAGTCTGACTGTTCAAATATTTATTTTCAATCAATGTTGAATGCCAAGTTGAGAAATATTTAACATTGTTTCAAAATTTTTGAATATTTTTAGATTGATGAATATTCCAGTTCCTGAAAGGCTGAGGTTTGGTGGGAACATCTATCTGTGCATTATAAACCCATAACAAATTTCTGAAATATTCTGAAATTAATTAATCAAATGAATTGAGATTTTGCCACAAACGCTGATTTTCTCATCCCTATAGCTTTGCAACCCAATGTCGTAGTGCTTAGAGATTTTTAACTGCGAATTCTGTTAGATCAAATAATTTGATATATCGAAGTACCAGGCCGTCTTTCAATATAAGGCAAAACGGGATAGTTCATCAAATGAATGATCCTATTCTAGTGAAATTTAGGCGGGTTGCAAAGATATAGATTAGAAAATTTAAGTTTGTGGCAAAGGCTCAATTATCTAATTCAATTTTAAGAAAGTTTTTTTTTCTGAATCTTCCTAGACAAGCTATTGACTTGTGTTCCCGATAAGGTCGTTTTTTTCCTAGTAATGTCGTTTTTTCCCTCTTCTTATTTTCGTGGATTTTCAAAATATTTTCCACACATTTTCTAGTACAATTAAGTAATATTTTTTATTTTAACAATTAATTAAACAAGCAAAACAAAATAATCTAACCTAGTAAGAGAAATTCCACCTAGTACAGCCATCATGTACTTCCCCTCTCCTAGTTGTATAACCTGAACATTTTATTTGGTTTCTTAACCCTTTAATTGCATGGTATCCCCCCCC